TGTACTAAATTAGCCCTTAAGGCAGAGAATGGAGACACCCGAGATCAGGAGTGTGAGATCTGATTTGGGAAGCCCTGAGGCAGCCTCCCTTTTAAAAAAAAAAGATAACTATATTAAGGCATGGCAGGAGAGAAGGGGAAGGTGCTCAAGACAGCCAGAGTAGACAAGGGCAGAGAGGGCTCCAGGTGCATCATGGCCACCCCTGGAGTTAAACCCCGTTACATGAGGTGTGTTGGCCAGGAAGAAGGCCATACAGGAAGGTTACAGGAGCAGCCCCATAAGCAAGTGAGGATTGGTGGTTATATGCTTGCTCCATCAGTGTTTTAACTTGCCTAGGAGTGGGGCCAGGGTCTAAGTAAGGACCAAAGGCCAGGAGGGCCACAGCCAGAGATGTACGCGGTCAGGGAGCCTGCAGCCCAGGAAGGGGCTGGCTGAGGCAGTGACATCTGAATTAAGGGGGGTCTTTTAAAGGAAGGAAAGTCTGGGAGGTAAAGAAGACCCATGGGGTGAGTGTTAGAGGACAGGAGAAAGTGCAAGAACCAGAGGGGGCTTGTGGGGTGCACAAAATAGAGATGCTCAGAATGGGCAGCCTTAGAGATCTGCACAGGGGACACCTAGGAAGCCCAAGAGTGGGAATCTCCTGGTCCTGGGTAAGATCTGAAACTGCACTCTTCCAGGGGCTGGTTAATGTGGTGGGGCCAACTGTGGCAGGGTAGCCTCTATAAAATGCCACACGTTGCCACCTCCAGGAAAGGTGAGTATGGGGTGCCTGAAAACCCCAACTTTCACTGCCGTTTGGGTTATTCTGTGGCAGGAAAAAGGCTAGGGGAGCACATCCCAAAAGAAGAGCACTTACTTGATGGAAGCAAAAAGATGAAAACCCTATGGCAAGTGTGAACTAAGGTATGGAGGGGGGATGTGACAGGGCTCTTAGCATGTCTGTCACTTGAAGAGGTGAAGAGGCTGCTTGAGAAGCAGGCTGCAGGTATGGCAGGGGCCAACTGGAGAGCCACCTGGTCAGAAAGGGACTGGGCTTAAAGCACACAAGTTTAGGGCCTGAACTGGCTAAGGAATTTGGCCATGAAAGCCACAGAGAGAGGAGCTCCTGGGAAACATCTGAGCTGTGGATAAGCAACTCTGGAAGTATCATCTGCGAGGCATAGGCGTGCTGTCAGGGGTGGGTGGAGCCATGTAATTTGTTTTCAAGGCAGGGAGCAGAGACACCTGAGGTAAAGAATGTGAGATCTGACTTGGGAAGCTCTGAGGCAACCTCTCTTTAAAAAAAAAAAAAAAAAGGTAAATGCATCAAAGCATCACAGGCGAGGAGAAGGAAAGAGGGCCCAAAGAGAGCCAGACAAGACAAGGACCAAGGGGCTTCCACGTGCATCATGGCCACCCCTGGAGTTGAACCCTGTTACACCATGGCAAAACCGAGAACTCAACCCAGTTCTCCTAAATAAGTTGCCTTCCTTAATCGCAAAGCAATCCCCCTTTCCTCTGCTTTCACTTAGCACCTTATGTCTAGACTAAAACCAGCACCTAGGCATTCATTAAAGCAGGACTGTCAATGAGGGGAAGCTGAAGCATTGCAACTGAGGAAAACATACTGTGATACCAAAGGGAAGCAGTGTCACCATCAGATCTATTTGCTGAGTAGCTAGCACGCACGCACGCACCCATAGATTTCAGTCAAGTTTGAATTAACATTATTTCTATAACATTAATTCAAACTTGACTCAAATGTGTGGGAGCGTTTGTTACCATACATGCTGTAGTACGTGCGCTCTGCAGTTACGGGTATTGGATTAAAAACTGATATTCAGGAAAATGGACTAGATAATCTCTACTGGTCCTTCCAGTCCTATGCCTTTGATCCAGTCAGTAGTTAGACCATTCTAAATGAAGCGCTAGAGGAAGTCACATTTAATGGTATACCAAACAAACTAAACCATTCATCCACCTTACCTTTGTTGCCCCCACACGCCAGTACTGCAGCTGCAATTGCTCCGCTCGATATTCCAAAGAATTTGGCTGCTGATCCCAGCATCTCAGGTGCTAATTCCTGCAGGGCCTGAATAACTCCTAGCTCATAACCGAGGATAAATCCACAGCCACAAAAGCTAACAGACTGTGCAGGGGAGCCAACGCCGCCTTGATGTGCCTCATCCATTCCCACTCGCAGGAACTCAATCAGTGCATGGATCTGAAGGCAGAGGCTGGGAGGCTCTGCGCACTGCTACACAGCACACCGCTTGCTAGCTGCTGGAGTGTGCTAAGCAATCGTACTGTCTTCAGATCTCTAGGACCATAAATGACAGCTGTGAGCAGAGCTGTGACAGGGTTTAAGGCTAGGATTTTTTATATGATACTACTTATTTAAATTACTCTCTGCAGTAGTTCCAAAAACACCCCGTAAGTTAGTAAACACCAGGGCTAAAACAACCCACTCATGGAATATATCAGTCAGTCCTGTAAGGTATTCTGTAATACCCATTTACTTGGCAAGTAGTATGGTGGCATTTGTGCTTTATTTCGAAATTTACCCTAAGCTATAATTACTACAGGCAACACACCTTTCTTATTCTGGTACATTCAGTATCACAAGCTAAGTACTGCCAGCACCTTACCAGGCAGTCTTTCATTTGGCAAAAACATACAGCTGTCTCAAGCAATGCATTTGGTAACTCAAAGAAACAGTCAAACTTTGCATTTCAGTGAGCTCTCCTTACATTGAGAGTCTGGAGCCTGACCCAAACAACTCACCTGTAATCGCCTTTAAGTCGGCAGGCCCGGATGAGCTCCATCCAAGGGTGCTGAAGGCACTGGCCGACATCATTGCAGAGCCACTGGCGGGAATAATCGAACGCTCGTGGCGCATGGGCCAAGTCCCGGAGGACTGGAAAAGGGCCAGTGTGGTCCCCATTTTCAAGAAGGGGAGGAAGGAGGACCCGGGCAACTATAGGCCAGTCAGTCTCACCTCCATCCTTGGCAAAGTCTTTGAAAAAATTATCAAGGCTCACATATGTGAGAGCCCGGCAGGACAAATTATGCTGAGGGGAAACCAGCACGGGTTGGTGGCAGGCAGATCGTGCCTGACCAGTCTAGTCTCTTTTTATGACCAGGTTACGAAACGCCTGGACACAGGAGGAGGGGTGGATGTCGTATACTTAGACTTCAGGAAGGCCTTTGATACAGTATCCCACCCCATACTGGTGAACAAGTTAAGAGGCTGTGACTTGGATGACTACACAGTCCGGTGGGTGGCGAATTGGCTAGAGGGTCGCACCCAG